TTATGTGCGAATAGATTTTTGGTAAACGGGAATCCATTCCACGGAAAGTTGAAAGTGTTTTGTTGTGTTTGATTATTAGACAATAAATTCCAAGAGCAATTTCGATTTTCTTGAAACCGTGCTGTCTCTAATTAACGGGTAACATTGTACAATTTTTCATTCGAAGCGATGAAATAATATGGAAAATATGTTAATCTTGATCTGAAATGTTGGGAATTCGAACGGATTTATCCAATTTCTGTTCATAATAAGTGAATAATCGACCCAATCATTTTGGTTTGTATTTTTTTTCTCTACTGCAACTTGCTTTTTAGTTTATTTTATTTTTAGAAATAAATGGCGAATGAATTTTGCGATCGAACCATGGGAATAAATAAATAAATTAGAACGTTGAAATTTCAACGAAGTGATTTACAGTCGAGGAATTTCTTACATCAAGGAATACGCTTAACATAAATTTCATCAGCTTTGGAAGTCAATAAGAAACCCTTTTTTTTGGTGCACCTTGTTACGAACAGGAAACATCCCAGCAAACACATTTAATCGTTATGTCATTTTATCAAAATATAAACTCGTGTCTTTTTTCACACCATTGTAAGGTATCTATTCTCGGGACATTTCACAATTCGCAGGTGTGACTTGCAGGTGCGCTTTGACTCCTGGCTCAACAAATAACTTTCTACTTAATGTTATCCTTGCTTTTTATCCGGACATTCTGATTCTACAACGCCGTACGAAGCTGCACTAAACGGTTCGAGAAAATTTCTTCACCAAAGTCGTAAGTCACCTTACAAATTATCTTGGCTCGATTGCGTGGCAGGCATTACTTCATTGCAATTATCGTGTCGCATCGCCTTCTTTCGTCTCATCAATCAAGCGAGACATCGCGTAGAACGAAGTTCGAGAATCCAGTATAGAAAATTCTGAAGATCTTTTAACAAATTTTCCCTTTCCTTCTAATTTTAAAACATTTTAAGATACCAGAAATGTTTCGAGAATCTTAGAAAATATTATTAAAATAATTATTTTTAGAGGCAAAACTATAGTAACGTTTGTAAGGGGTTACCATGTTTGGTGATTCATTTCTAAACGACGAAAATACTTTATCAGATGAAAATTTTTCAACAAAGTCAAATACTAGTCTAAATACTTTGTCGTTTAGTTTTTCTTTAAAAACAAATGTGGCAATCGAGAGTATTTAATGTACGCCATATTGCATGGATACAGAGCAGGCGCCATCTAGCGGGAAAGAAGCAAACTTTCCCCCTAAAAGTTTTTCGACGCGATTTCGCGAATCCCAAGGACCAAAATAAAGAAGAATCAGGGAATTCCCGAATCTATAAAATTAAAAATTCGAAGGAAACGCAATAACTGGCCTAGGCAACGTGAAACAGGTTCTATATCGAGGTCGTATCGCCGAAAACAAGATGACATAATACGGGGAACTCCACGATAAATTAGTATACTCGCCATCGTTGCCTCAGGCTATGTACTTTCCCTAATCCTTGTCCTCAAACGTGACAAACTGTAAACAATTTCGTCAGAGCAGGATGTTTCAACTCTCCCAGAAAGCGTTCACTGTGGTCCATTCATCTTTCATGATAGTTTATGCATTATTTATGGGTAGAAAAATTGGAGTAGGCTGGGAAAAACGACAAGAACTGAATCACGTGATCAATTAAAGAATGAAACAAGATGGAGTTGCCGCAGCAGTGCTAAAAGAACAGAACACTTCGAATCGAATTAAATCAATTCCAATAATTGATAAAATTCCTTCAGAATATATATCTAAACACACACATATATTTATTGTGATTAAAAGTAATTTTCTATTTATCAACTATTTCATCTTTGATAGATTACTGAAAAGAATATTAAATGAGACAACGATGCTGCACGTTAATTAAGATAATGTTTGCTTTCTTTATTAAAAATTTATTACGAGTGGTGGCTAGTAAATAAATAAAATTAAATAGCGTGCGCAAGAACGATCTTTTCGTCGCGTGCAAACTTCCTTTCATCGCGTTGCGATTTGACACAGATTTCGCGTTATAAACAAACATTAATTGGCGGTTTTGATTAATACGCCGGTTTTTTCGCGAAGAAGTTCGCGACATGCAACCGGAAGGCGATCGCGAGCCGTTGCACGTTACACCCGAGTTGCTTTTACCGAGTTTCTCGTGCACCGTTAGTGCAAAATTTCCCTGCTCTACGTAACTCCGCATTTAGAAACATTTATCCACGAAAATAAAAACGAGATGTCAATCAGTGTTTTAGGTTCGTCGTGCTTTTTAACCGCCGCGGACGCATTCATTCGCGTCCATTAATTTCTTGCAAGTCGTAAGTCGTAAGACAGCTTTTTTTGAGAATCGAAAACCGATTTCCCTTTCTTTTTGTATTGGAAGTTCTTTCATTGGTGTTTCTGTTAGAGAATTTATTTACTTCAAAATTTTATAACTTACTTTATGCAGTTAGATAATATGATTTGTTACTAGTTGCTATTATTTTAATTATGAGTTTGTTATTGGCTCAGTATGCTGAAAGTGTAAAACTTACAAAATCTGCAATGAATTTTCTCAGGCAACCATACAGTTTCTGATTAACATTGACGTATTGTGCCTCGGTTTATTAGATCGAAAGGAAAATATAATTACGTATAAAGAAACTGGTGCATAGAGAGTTATTATGGAGGACCTCGAATGCAACTATGTTGCACGTGCATTCACCGTAGGAATGGTTCGGGAACATTTTTATAGACCTGAGGTTTTTTCCTCGTAAATCTGGAAAGTGCAGAACGCGTTACAGTCGCGCGGTGGCAAAGAATTCCATTATAAAATCGCAATTTTTAGTTTTAATAACGAATAACAAACATTCTTGATTGATTCGTTATCATTTTTTGTCTCGAGACGATTTTTTATCCATCCCTGACTGAAAAGAACAAAGTTTGAATTTACGTTCCGTGAAATTAAAGCAATTCATCATGGACAATGCGATAAAAGAAATAACGTAAACTCAGAGAAGCGTTAAAAGCCGTGTAATGGCTTTTTACGATTTTCTTGTCATTTTCGTTTCAACGTTTAGCCGATTAAGTAATTCTATACTTTAGCGATTGCTCACCAATTTCGAGGACCTTGAAATATGTCGTGGCGATTACTATTATGAAAATTGTTTTCCTAAACATGTTACCGCCACTCGCCCTTTAAAAAATAATTTTATGTCCGAATTAGCCTCGGTTTGAGTTGGAGATAAAACATTAACCTTCATTCTTAATAATGACAATTATTATTATCGTTATTATTAACAGAAATTGGAAAAATGTCTGCCATTATATAAAAAAATGCAGGCATTCTTGTATTAGAATCATGACGACCAACGAGAAATAATGTCTACCGTGTCGAGCTAATATCGAATAATATTAATAAAGAAAATTGAAATGGAAGATGAACGCGTGGACGGCCGCCTTGCGGCGGTAAGGAAATCTAACCTGAACCTAATCCATTATATTAATTACTAGGTAGAATAGTTAGGTCTGGGTTAGGTCTATTTAAATCAAGCTACTTAAAACGGCTACTTAAATCGAGTTTTTAAGCATATCCGTTGTACGCATATTGCCGGTCGCCTCGACGTATCTAAACAATAAACAACCGGCGATTCAACGCTTACACACACGCTGTCACAGTTACGTACGTATAGATATAATTAATTGTAGTAGCAGCGATCTTTTTGAAGAAAAATCACGGAAACTATGGCAGAGTGGCGATTATACAGGGTGTTCGGCCACCCCTGGGAAAAATTTTAATGGGAGATTCTAGGGGCCAAAATAAGACGAAAATCAAGAATAGCAATTTGTTGATCGAGGCTTCGTTAAAAAGTTATTAACGTTTAAAGTTCCGCCTGTAGAACGGCAATCTGCGAACAGCTGCGCACGCATCACAGTGGTTCTCATTCACAAAACTGTAAGTCTGTCGATACGTCGGTAAGTAGAGTTTCTCATGCTGAATGAGAGAAAATCTTCATAACAGTGACCTTCACAACATATTCAAAGGTAATCGAAATTGGTGAGGAATCGCTAAAGTAAACAATTACCGCCGATTATAGAATTTTCAAACTGCTGATAAGAAACTTTAAAAACGTGAGAAGCCAACATTTTTACGCAATCATTTGCAGTAATTATTTTTCACCGTAGATAAAATATTAGTTTTCGTTTCTACTCGCGTTTTTCTTTCTCACGCAACGGGGAAATGTCTAATAAGTATAATTTAATATTTAATTTTATTGATTTTATGTTATTTACTTTTAATCAATATTTTACCATACTTATACTGTCTGTTAAACATACTTAATGATAAAAGTGCACTGCATCGTCGGAAATTATGCTGACGGAGTTCACGGTCAGAGGAAAAATCTAATAGCAAACTTTCGAGAAAATTCGTCTTGCAGTTGCGGTTAGCTTTACCGCAACTTTATTTCTGCACGCCTTCCTGAAAATTAGTATGAAAATGAAGGGAAAGTTGAGAAACGCTAACCTTGATATAGATTTTGTTTTGTTTATTCAACACGTATTCGGGTCAAGAAATGGGAGAGCCAGTTGAAACTTAATATTCTTTTTTTACTAATATTGATATTTGCATGGTATAAATATATGAAAATCTTGCATTGCCTGCGTACTTATAAAGCTTCGAAGCCTCAGAACGGAAATCAATTATCTAGAAAATTCAATAGTTTATTGTGAAACGCGCTTGAACTTAAAGGGATAGTCTCAAACATTGTCAAAATTGATTTTTTATTTTTACAATCTCTTGGAATCTTAGGTTTAGAGACTATGTATTGACAGACGATCAAAATTAAAGTTAAGATGAAGTTAATCGACTTATTAAAAATTCTATTTCTCTACAAATTAAACGTAGATTTCCATAGTTTTTTCTTTGAAAAGATTCTGCAATTATTCCCCAGCCACATGAGATTAAAAATTTCTGAGACCTTTTCAACTTTTGTTTCAGAAATATGAAAGAACGAACGGTGCATTGGATTGCAACAATTTTTCTTGTCGCGATAGTTCTGAAAAGAGCATCTGCGGCGAGTGACGAGAAGATTACGTTAGACAATGGAAAATCCTCGGAAAATGAAGGTAAGAACAGTCTAAGAAACATTCGATTCGGAAAAAAAATTTCCATTTTATAATAATGATGTTAATATTTTTCGAATCTCTCGATTTTCACTCAGGTCAGTTTTTAAATATCTATCATAGGATACTACTAAAAGAACCTTGCACTTGAGATCGTAATAACTGGTGAAACTTCAATTTTACAAAATTGTATAGTTTATCTTATGCAATCAGACAACATAATTTATCACTGGTTACTATTATTTTAATTATGAGTTTATTAACTCAGTATACATATCTAATTCGATACCGTCAAAGTCCAAGATCGAATACGCCATTAACTCGAGCAGGATAAACCAATTCGTCACTTTTTTTTTTGCTCGAGGGTTGGCTTTCTCGAATGGCGTATCGAGTATTAATAATCAAGGCAAGGGGCAGCAGCAAGTTGGAAAGGAAACTAGGGCAATGGGTTCCTTATGCAACAAGTGGAAGTTAATGGCAGGGAACAGTTCTCGAGTTGGAAAACGTTCGACTGTGTAACATGCCGGAATTCGAGTTACGTTCTCGAGGGACGTTCTATGCCCACGATATGTATAAACATAATGCACCTTTATACTTCGACAAACGTATGTGCGCTGTGCGTTAATACTTCGACTGCCACAATTATGGACACGTGTCTTCACTTTCTGTGTACATGTTTGCTTATTCGACTTGCACTTTCCAAGGAAAATTTCAATGAACCACTTGTTCCATTACAATATATATTATTTGAGATTAGTTTAAATCGAGCAGTACATGGATTAATTATCTATCATTTCATCAACTCATTACGAATAAAGCTAATGTGCTTTGGAGTAAGTTTCGTGGTCGAAGTAGAAAATGAATGAAAATTAATTGGAGAATCAATTATACAATCGTAATCGACTTCACTTTCTGTGTACATGTTTGCTTATTCAACTTGCACTTTCCAAGGAAAATTTCAATGAACCACTTGTTCCATTACAATATATATTATTTGAGATTAGTTTAAATCGAGCAGTACATGGATTAATTATCTATCATTTCATCAACTCATTACGAATAAAGCTAATGTGCTTTGCAGTAAGTTTCGTGGTCGAAGTAGAAAATGAATGAAAATTAATTGGAGAATCAATTATACAATCGTAATCGACTTCACTTTCTGTGTACATGTTTGCTTATTCAACTTGCACTTTCCAAGGAAAATTTCAATGAACCACTTGTTCCATTACAATATATATTATTTGAGATTAGTTTAAATCGAGCAGTACATGGATTAATTATCTATCATTTCATCAACTCATTACGAATAAAGCTAATGTGCTTTGCAGTAAGTTTCGTGGTCGAAGTAGAAAATGAATGAAAATTAATTGGAGAATCAATTATACAATTATAATCATAGAGTAAATTGTTTTTTCCGGTAAATCATCAACTAAGATACTAATTTTGAAAATAATAGAAATTCAGTGATTTCAGATTTTCACGTTAACTGAACACTTCTTTTGATATGCTTTTTGAAACATTTTGGAGCACGATGGGAAAAGTTTGATTTTTAACTTAGACCAGTTTAATATTGATATTTTCAAATTGATCGAAATTCGTTGGAGAGTTTGCTATAGAGCCTAAGTCAGTCACAGTGGTTCATTCGTCGAGTTACCTGGTCGCATCGATATGATCTGTCGTTGGTATAACATTTATCGTTCCGGCTGAAAGCAGTGAAAGGCATCGGGGCGCAATAACGAGCCTGTTTCACGATCTATTACGTCGACATTGGATCCCTACGATCGTCCATGGTACGGTGAACGTGCCTGATCAGATGGTATGCACGATAAACGTTAAAAAAAATGATGATGGCAAAATGAATCGATGCAAGGTTCGTTGGAGATAGGCATCTCCTATGTAAGGAAGACAGAAAATTATGGTAACCGATCGTTTGTCTTTTTTCGTGGGAAAATAGTAGCGTCCTTCCGTCGATGGGGAAGCACAGTGGCGTGGCATTAAACGACGCCTTTGTCCTGATTAAAGTGATTTCAGTTACGTAGCGACTACTGTGGTTCCGGGTAAATACGTTGGGGAATGGAAACGGGAATGAGTAAGCTGAACGAAATGCTCGATCGAACCAAAGCACGTTCTTAGTTGGTTCTAAATACGACTGGGAGTTGTACGAATATATGTTTCTCGATCGAACAATATTTTCGGAGATATTTCACGATGAATCTTGCGAAATGCTAGCAAAACGAAACGTCGATGCATGAAAAATAAGTCGACCATATAGAATCACGTGGACAGTATACTAAAAAATTATAAAATATACGATCGTTTATGTGATTTTATCGAAAAATATTTTATCAAGATCTCGAGGAATAAAAAGTATTATCAACCAGACAGTATAATCTTGCTCGTATTAATTAAATATAGAATCTAAGTGGAATAAAACATGGCATGGGAAATGTGATTTACTGGATAAATTTCTTTCGAAGATTTTAGTATTTCTAACTGTTTAGAATATTTAATTTATTAACTTGAAATTGTAGGGGAAGGTTTGCAATTTTGCCTCATACTCGCTGTATATTATTGACGTTCGTGGACCACGAATTCTAATTAGCTTGGAACACAATCCGATTATATCAATTAATGCGGAATAACAACGAAGAATAGAATTTAGAAGGAAAATCGTACGACGTGTTAGTCGAGTCAATTTACGATCACTGTTGCGTTATTCTTTTCCAGATTCCTTGGACTTAAAGGCATCGGAATCTACCTATAATTTCCCTTTATCCATCAATTTTGGAAACTCCTTCCACTCTTTTGGGTATTCGCCACAACCAGCCAACTTGTACTCAAAATTCCTAAATACAGGGTAAATATAAAAAATATTCCTTTTCTATTATTACCCCATCCCTCGAGATTCTTCACTATTTTTTCCACATCTTTATGCTGGAGTATATTTATTAATTCGTTATAATAAATTATTTATATATTATATATTTCTTTGATAACTACTTTTATAGTGGGTTTAATACCTAATTTTGAACATGATTTTAAAAAAATTATTGCTCTATCAACATTAAGTCAATTAGGTTTAATATTAACTTTAAGAACTGGATTTTATAAATTAGCTTTTTTTATATAAAAATCAGCTGCTTTCTATGATCGTCCCATATTAAATTTTTAACCGAACTTCTTCAGTTTATTAAATATCTGTTCCAAAAATAATGGACTCCAAAATCTTTTTAATGAGCTCTAATTTAGATCTCTGCGTCAGGTGTTAAGGTCACCATCGAGTTCAAGCTTTTGAACTCCATAGCTTTTGTTTTTAAAATATTTTTTTTAACGATCCTGAAATATTTTAAGCACCTTTTATCTTTTTCTCAATTTGTATATGTGTTTGTTAAATTGTAATACGGTTTTAATAACATTTTAGCAGCAACATTCATCAAGAAATTAGATGTGGTGACACGTATCCACGAGGCTGCGAGAAATTACGATACCGGACGTACGATGGCTCTTGCAACAATCTTCGAAATCCTACATGGGGTATGGCAAACACGAGATACGGACGTCTTTTACCAGCGAACTATGGAGACGGTAATCTTGGAAATTTTTTTCAATTTTCTGTGACATTAACATACGTACTTCCTATTTCGAAGTCTTCTTCAAACAAATAATACAACCTCAAAGCAATATAAATAAATGAAAATCAGCAAAAATAATAGACAATTAATATTTACGAGAAAATACATAAAAATAGCGAAGTTCCATGAGCGTTCAATTTCCAATTTAAATATTTATAATTCATAATTATTGGAATTAAAAGGCTTATAGAAATTGGTAATAGAAATTATGGTAATTTGAATAATGCACATTATCATAATTAAATAACGTATCTCGTGAACAAAGAAAGTGTTTCACTTTCTAGAAATTGCTTTGTTCGTTGTCAGGGAAATAACTTTAGTTCACACAGGGATCGATGACGATCGATTTTCTCTTTAACTACCGAGCCACGTACAAAAAGTTTACGTTGTCATAATTTAGATAAATACTAATAAGACAATTGACAATTCATTGACCTTTTGATAAGTTTCTCTTCCTTCTCTTGAAATTTTTTAAATTATTTTAATTACTAGATCAAATTAACGAAGACACACGCAAAGAATACATTTTTTCAGTAATTACCATTGTTCGTGTACGGAATTTTACTGTTCCAATACTTATGCCCAAGATCGTATATTTATCGTTCACACTCGACGGACGAAAAACTTATTCATCCGTAAAACACGTGACTTTCATACTGCCAGACCCCATCATGTGCAATATGACATTTTATATTTTCATTTACGCAGTCTACGACCCAGACTCTAAAAGAGTCCGTAAAAGCAGTCGATATCACCCACAATCGTTCCACGTCGATGAATATGTATGTGTGTGGGGCCGTGAGTAGTCACACGTTTTGGTAACTGGTTCAATTAACCCTTTCATTGCTACTGTCGCCTATTTCTGTTGGCCAGTAATTCTTAATCACTGTGCTATACAATAAAACATCGTAAAGCCAGCTATACCTCAATGTCTACTTCAAGAAGCCATAAAGAATGCCCCTGAATGATATTTTACGACGCGATGGAAATCCATCCTTCCTTCCACGTATTGCGTTTTCAGAATAGCAATACCATTATTTAATAATCAATGCAATACGAAATCGTAGTCAACAGAAAAATAGCATTTTCTTCAATTGTAATTACTGAATCTCAGTTCCATTCAAGGATACTCTTTTTAGCTTCCAAGTATACTAATATACTGAATATTTATTTTTCCTTCATAACAGCAAAGGTGAAATAACCTTTCCTAAAAATTTTTGTCATTAAATTTGAATTTCTTTCAGGAATATTCTCATTAATTTTCCAGTATATTAATCTGCTGAATCTTTATTTTCCGCATAGGTCTCAATGTTCCTTTTATTAATAATTGTTGTGGTTTGACATACTTTTTATATATTTTTTGACTTGCCACAATGAGAAAAGAAACTCAGTTTCGGAGACGTTGTTCTAAACAATGTCATGAGATTTAAAACGTTGACCAGTGTTATAAATTCGTTGCTCAAAGCCTGCTTTGCTATTGAAATTCTTTTTCGCGCTCATTTGTATCCTGCTATTGACAAAACCCGCGCCCTTAGGCTCCTTGGCATCCGTTTCTTTGTGATTACACTCATTTTTCCGATACGCCTATTGGAAGGTTGTTTCTATCTTCGTAGCGAAGTAGCCTACGCTGGTTTTTAATACTCAGATCCTTCTTACACCCACCAAACACGATTACCGTGAATAATTATAAGCAATAGAAATGGAAGAAACGATAATAAACCAGATACAACTAGATAAATATATCGAAAACAATCTGAAAACCTACGTTGATTCAATTTTCCATTTCTCTTTTCATATTCATATAATTTACCGCGGAAGACTAAAATTATACAATCATGTTTGCAAAGACTACAATGAATTTTCATAATTCGTTCCGTGACATTGACACAAACGTTAGAATTAATCGTCAAATTAATTACAGCAAAGATCGTGGCAAGTGAAAGGTTTATTATCAACTTCCGGTCTAGCACACTCGAGCTCTACACCAGCTACGTAATCATTTTTGTCACCGTTTATTCCCACTAAAAACGTTACTTCCGTGACCGTCGACAACATTGTTCAACACGCAACTTTCACAGTCTTTGCATTTCTTCAATTCATCCGAAGCTATGCTTGTCAGTAAACGTATTATGCCACCAGTCGTAAATAATTACCACTCCGGTGATTTGTTTGTCGCTACACTATAACGAACCATTTTACCAACCATCTATCGATTTCTCTTTACGTTCAAATGCCCCTTTTTTATCGCTTTTCCGCGCAGAGTTTGCATTTATTTGCAGCAAAAAACCAACAAAAGCATAGAACAGTTTTCTGGTTACGATTCGTTGCTCGCTAATTCATTTCCTATCGAGTTTATTTATTTACGAGGAGCGGCCGATTGCGGGAAAAACGTGATTCCGTAATTTTTCGAGTACGTATGAATACACGAAGCAAAATCGCTGATACGTAATACGTTTTAAACACAGCGGAATTCCATGTTTCTTTTCACATGTTTTACAATATGTTATTTCCGGGGGCCATAAAAGTTTATTGTTGCGGTAGGGAAGCGTGCCTCTTGACAAATAATACCTGCTTTCGCGGAAACTCGTTTTTATCCCAACGGAACAACGTCGAACGTGATTAATGCGCTCGCGCGGGAACCAGTTTCCCTCCTGATTTATCAATTTTACGATGTAATGTTAATATTTCTAAATGCACGAGATCACACTGAAGCATTCTTAGTCTTATGACGATTCTTTCGTTCTTGGAATCCTCGTTCGGAAGAAAAAAACATTTGAAAGTATTATACTTTGGGTTAAAAATTTTAAAGGGAGATTCTAGAGAACAAAACAAAACGAAAATCAAGAATACCAATTTGTTGATTGAGGCTTCGTTAAAAAGTTATTAACGCTCAAAGTTCCGGCTGTAGAACGGCAATTTGTTCACTTACTCGAATTTTTTTCTCGAAATTGCGTAGGATTTCGGGGGTGTGTCTATTCACCAAAAATGATTGTAATTGACCCCCGTAACCAAAAATAATTTTTCCAGAACAATTTGAAATTTTTTAATTTTATCGACTTTGTCCATCTACTCGAATTTTTTTCTCGAAAGTGCGTAGGATTTCGGGGATGTGTCTATTCACCAAAAATGATTGTAATTGAGTCCCGCGACCAAAAATAATTTTTCCAGAATGATTTGAAGTTTTTTAATTTTGTCGAAAAATGTGTCCACCTACTCGAATTTTTTTCTCGAAATTGCGTAGGATTTCGGGGATGTGTCTGTTCATCAAAAATGATTGTAATTGAGCCCTGCAACCAAAAATAATTTTTCCAGAATGATTTGAAATTTTTTAATTTTGTCGAAAAATGTGTCCACCTACTCGAATTTTTTTCTCAAAATTGCGTAGGATTTTGGGGGTACGTCTGTTCACCAAAAATAATTTTTCCAGAAAGATTTGAAATTTTTATTCTAATTTTATAATAACTTTTTAACGAAGCTTCAATCAAAAAATTGATGTTTATGATTTTCGTCTTATTTTGACCTCTAGAATCTTTTATTAAAATTTTCCCAGGGATGGCCGAACACCCTGCATATTTCCTTACCTTCCTCGGTTTCATATTCATCCTCTTCCCTGCACTCTGATAATCTTCTTCCCCAAGGATAGGGGCTATGAGTTTTAACATTTTAATTCGCTTCGTTACATTTTTACTATGGTATATTTACTGCCATTCAACTTTCTTGAGAATTTCTGCGCGGAAGAATAAATCATTAAGGGACAAAAGTAGGAACTAGAACCAGTACCACATTAGATTTCTCTTCGATTCAATTATCTTTGGTGAATATGAAGAAATTAAGAATGCTATGTATGGCAGCTGTAATATAACATTTGTGTTGACATTTTTAACATTCCTGCTCATAGAGAAGGAAATTCCTACGCGCGGAAATATCGAATCTTTATGAAGGGAAATGCCACTAAAAAAATAATGAATGCACCGTCGTGCATTGTTGTGAAATCTCTGGTCGGTGTAAGTGTTTCGTTCAAGACATGTTTTGCAAATGATGAACTTTCTACAAACAAAGTACTAAAGAATGTGTAATTGATACTAATAAATACAAAAATTTGCGAATATTTGACGGAAAATGTATGGAGAACTACTAACCGAGCAATTTGAAAATACCTGTTGATATAAAAATTAAATAAAAAAAGTTCCAGAATGCCGTATATCTGCGTAATTCTTACCAACACGTAAGAGTTTAATTGCAGTGGCAATTAAGTGATAATATATTCGACGTTATAAGAAAATAATTTGAATAAAAAAACTAGTGTAAGTGAAGCCAGTTTTTCATTTAGATTTTGTTACATTTTACGTTTAATTTATGCAGGAATCCGATCGCCTACGACTTCGGTTACTGGAGCGGAATTGCCACTATCACGAATGGTCAGCTACACAATGTTCCCCCCCGTCGATATTGACAATCGAAAATGGACGTTGGTAGCCATGCAATGGGGACAAGTTATTACTCACGACATGGCTTTGATCGACGGAACTACTCAATCAAGTATACATAATTTTCTATCCGCCATATTACTTAATAGTATAATAATTAGCATTTGGGTCTGCAAATATTTATTTATATGTAATTGCTGTCGAGTCTGTCCTATTCCATTTTTCTTCTGTAACATTATCACTTTCACGTTTCAATATATGTATGCTAATTAAATTTATTACAAGTAGCAAATGATTTTTATTATTCTAGCAACTCGTGCGTGTGAATTTATACAGGAAAGCTTCGTTACTATGAAGAAAATGCAGTTCTAAAATGATTCATTTCCACCATTTTGTTTGCCCCACAAAACCAACCAAGTTTCGTTCCGCACACTTTCTCTTAACTTTAACAATGAACCAATCATTCATTTTGGACCACGGGAACTGTTTATTTTAGGATCCTAAAATTTTGGATTTTTTGAAATAACAATAAGGAATTAAAAATAACAAAATGAACCCATAGTTCTTATAATTAACTGATCACTTATTTTGTTCCAGACTCTGGGTCCATTTTGAACCATGAAAACTGTTTATTTGAAGATCTTAAACATTGTTTTTTTAAAAATAAAAATAATAATGACACGTGAGATTGTAAAAATAGAATTATAGTAATAAATAAAGAATTGTTAAATCTCACGCAAGAATACGAAAGAATGAAATTAATATTAGAGTCAAAACGGACCCAGAGCCCTTATAGATAACAACTTACCTTTTATTTTCTGTTGTAGAGCCCCACGCGACCAAGTGTTGCACAGACGACGGACAATTGGTGGACGAGGCGATGCTTCACAATCTATGTTACCCCATACTTATTCCTTACAATGACCCCGTCTACAGCAAGGCCAACACAAGATGTATCAACTTCGTCCGTAGTACAACCGACCTTGACCGTGGCTGCTCCTCGCAATACAAACCAGCAGAACAGGTTCGCTATTCCTCGCGGTTATTGACTTTCCTCGCAATCATCTGTTACCTCATCCGTGGATACCCAGGGTGCACTCGGTAACCCAGATCAGAACTAGTATCAGAGTTCACGGACACCAATTACGCTATTTACGATCACGTAAACGTCTGCGCCGGAAGACTGTAATTAGTTACACTCGAACGAATGTATCAATCGTTACGTCGATTACCGATCTTAACGTTACGCGAAAATTTTAACAGGTCCAAGGAGAGCATTTTTCATTTTTGTTTTTTAATATTAAATTTTCTGTTTCGTTTCTACGTCATTTGAACATGGAGTAATTATTTTTGTTGACGATGAAATTTAACTTAATTGTCATTTTTTGAGATTTCAAGTTCATCAATACTTTTGAAACGAATAATTTACATGTATATATTCTATCAATTTTCAAAATTAATACAAAAATATTTACCATTCTAAATGCCATTGAAAATTAATTTCTAAGGAAGAACATGTTTTCTAAACCAACGCAATGGAACCTCGATAAACGCAACCTTGATGATTGCATGAGAACTTTATTCACTGCGTTTATAAAAGGAACATAATGATCATTTAGCAGCGAATAAACTACTTGGAAATAAAATTCGTAGTAACGACCATAGATAGTGGAGACATACTAAGCTTCTTATTGGATCAGTTACCTCGATAATTGCGTGAATCTCGACGCGTAGAAGACACTTCGGCGCCATTTTCTTGCAATTATCGAGGCTCTACTGTATTTTAATCACTTTGCGCTACAATCGTTGCAATATAATGCATCTTTTACGAAATTATGCACGTGATCTTACAGCTGACCGTCGTTACGCATTACATGGATCTCTCCCTGGTTTATGGATCCAGTGATCAAGTTGCAGCCAGTTTGAGGGCGGGAGTTGGAGGCCGTTTGAACGTAGACGTTCGACATAACAGGGAATGGCCACCCGCGGCAACCAATAAGAGTCAAGTTTGCGATACTACGGAACCTGACGAAGTTTGTTATCAAACCGGTAAGCTTCGACATAGCGACCGTCTTGGTTTTACAGAACATATCTAAATTTTCGAGAATCGGCTCACAGACGGGAACTAAAACACGAATATCGATTATTATTCATGGTATAACTCTTTGCGATCCATCTATTCCATGTAATAGCCTGTCAACAGGTCCAATTTATTTTGGAGATAGATTACTAGCCTGAACTGTCACCACCTGACTATTGTTACTTTTCATTCTGGACAGGGAAAGATTAAACTTGCAGCAATCTATCACAGCCCGTGTTCATGCAACGTTTCAGATTTATTTTATGATGGCAACTGTTGTGCCACTTACATTTTATTTGGGAAATTTAAATGCAGGAATTTTAATGTGGTATTTTTTTCGAATTGACAGACCATTTTAAGCAAAAGGTGCAATCTTATTTACCAGCTTCGAATTAACTTTTCTCGAACTTCTTTTTAATTCTTACGATTTGAAAAATAACAAAAATGGTAATTTCCATATTCAAGGTCAATGTCATCTTTACTCCTTAACACTAAACCTGTTAAAAGAGTGTCTTTGACAAAATGATTAGAAACTATTAATTGCCAGTAATTATTCCACGAAGCATTTACAGAGATCTATTGTAAAAATTGATGTGACTGATATTGTTTTTGTTATTACTGATAAAAATTTCAGGCGACACTCGTGGTAATCAGAATCCCCAGTTGACCGTTTTACAAATAATACTGCTCAGAGAGCATAATCGTGTGGCTGATGCTTTGGCTCGTCTGAATCCACATTGGACAGACGAAACAATATTCCAAGAGACGCGACGAATCGTGATCGCAGAACATCAACATATTTCGTACTACGAATGGCTGCCAATATTTTTAGGTAAGACCACTTCATCGCAATATAGCAAATAATTTGTTTCCATTAACCTCTTTAAAATTTTTATGATACAACGATTATTAATTTTGATACGAACGTTCCTGTGTTAGGCGTTGAAGGGACATACGGTAACAAGATTTTGTACGACACAAAAGATTACGTGAACGACTACGATCCTAACGTGAACCCGAGTGTCCTGAACGAACATTCTACAGCAGCTTACCGATATTTCCACTCTCTTATCGCTGGATACCTCAAGTAAGTCGAACAAAATTTATACTAACAGCAGTACAACTGGTATTTCGATCAATTTTTGTCTCCAAGGATTTCAGAAGTCATTTTAGAATGTTGTTTAAATATCACTAGTCGTGCCTTAATCGAACAACGATCTTTAAAAATAGCCTCGAAAAATATAACACTTGGTTCGTAATTATCTGTCTGGGAACCTTTGAGAACCAGTCCCGTGCGTGATTGGTCCACAATCTAATGGCGAAACCTTTGCAACTTAATCTTCAATCAACATTGTAATGTACCAATTTTCTATGGATACGCGCTGATGGATTTTATCGTATTCTGCAAATTACAGAGATTTCGCCAACAATCTAACTAATGAGATCCTTAGTTAGACCTCATTAAGCTAAAGTAAACTAACAATTTTTCATTGCCTGACAAAAATGAATCTTTTTCCAATTTTCTTTATTCAAAAACACAATTTAAAAAAAGAAAATTATTCTACATTATCTAGTTCTCGGGACATTCAATAGAATTCTACATTTAATAGATATACGTAATAGTATTTTCTTAATTTTGTTTCTTCTCCGAGTATTCCATGTTTTTTCGGTTCGTTTCGCAATTCTAGTTAAATATTGTTGTTCAATTAAATAATACAACCTACGACCCTACAATTCCAATACACTACATCGATAAAATGTTACCGGAGACGATATCGCTGAGTTTTCTACGATTTTGTTCAGCTTAGTGACCGAACATCGATTCGCAACCGGTGCGTTGAGGCTCAGCGACCATTTCAACAATCCAGGCGTTATCGAAGAGCGCAACAACATGGACGACCTCATGAGAGGCATGGCTTATCAGCCACACAAAGCAGGCGATCAGTATTTTGACGCGGAGGTACTACGAAACCGTTTCGACGAATCGTAAAAAACAGAGAACGTCCCATGAACATGTAAAATATGTTTGACGTGTTTCAGATTACGCAATTTCTATTTAGAATGGGTAGACCACTGGGATCGGACCTTCGGGCGACGGATATTCAAAGGAATCGCGATCACGGACTCGCGTCGTACAACAGTTTCCGCGAGTATTGCGGTTTACCCAGAGCGAAGTACTTCGCCGATTTCACGGATTATATTTCCATCGCGGTAGGTAGAAACGGGATTTCTAAATAAGCTTAGAACTGGTCACTTTTGACCCACGCTTAGAAGTTCGTTAGACGTCTGATTAAAAATTTTATAACAATTCGATGCTGATACTAATTAAATAAAAATTGTTATGAATGTCTTTTGTATACAGAACGTGGAAAAGTTGTCTGAATTGTACGCAAGTCCCGATGATGTTGATCTAACTGTTGGTGGATCGTTAGAGGCCCACATACCAGGAACACAAGCTGGACCAACTTTCCTATGCATTCTTACTAGACAGTTTTATCGAACGCGCGTGGGTGATCGTTTCTGGTTCGAAAGAGGCGACAACGAGGTGGCATTTACTATAGGTAAATACTACTTTCTATCGTTAATTACGGTATCGAAGTTAATCGATTTAACAAGTCTCCATCTAATTAAATTTCTGTTACTTAAAATCGAAAGATGAATAATTACTTCTGGTAATTTTCTAATCTTTTTGTTTCTATTGTATGTAAGCGATGCAAACATATTTTATAAAATAAAATTCATAACTTTGATCTTAATTTTGTAATTTTTTCAGAGCAACTAAATGAAATACGAAAATCTAGCATATCAAGACTATTCTGCGACAACAGTGATCACATTACAAATATGCAACCAAAGGGATTCCAACAAGTTTCTCAATCGTAAGTTTTCTTTCTCCATTTCTACGACGCACGTTGTAATAATTAGTAATTATATTTAATTCCATCAATTTTAGTAACCCTGTCGTGAGCTGCGAAAATATTCCAGCAGTGGATCTCTCGTTATGGAAAGACTATGCACCAGAAATAGGAAGTCATCAAAATATAGGAAATCATTATTTTAAAAAGTAAATTTAAGTAATCCAAATAATTGTTTCAACTTTCTACACAATTTCTAGAAAATATCGAAACCTAATTAGACGTGGGCATAGTTATAGTGACACGTGGAGTATTACTGTTAGTCGATATAATTTAATTGTACAAATTGTTACTAATAAACTGCATTACTTTTTTTTGTAAAACCAGGCAACATATTCAAACGTTATCTATTTACACATTTTTATATCCACGTAATTTCATGCCTAAATGTGTTTCAGATCGTTCGTGGATACAGTAAGTAAAACAAAATTAAAATTTAATTTCCTTTAATTATTTATGTACTTTTACAGGAATGCATTTCCACTTATTAGATTTAACTTTATGATGGAAATGACATTAAATATTTGTAATGTATACCGTTTAATATCGATAAAATGAACAATTTTGCTTATATTATGTAATATGCATCCTTGAAATACAAAGCAGTTCGTAACAAAGTTTAAATGCTTAGACAAAAATCTAACAAAATAAGATAATAGATTTAATTATCATTTTGTAATTGTAGAAAACATATGGTAGAACATCGACTGTAAGAAAATTATCTGATCGATCGATTATCGGAAGGAACGAATTAATCACGCATAATATCGAGTGCTTGCGTGTGTAATACGTCAGCGATTACACTATCTCTCAATACAAATTACGCCCTCTTGAAACGATCAAGCTTAAGGTTAGTATCCTGAAAGTATTAGCAAGATCTTGCACGATGTAGGTCACGAAACAAGTAATAATGAGAAAAAAGTATCGCTATCGTTAGTAGAAAGTCGCCATGTCACGATCCACTCAACTTATTAAATTTGTTTGGGTCTCAGTTTTATATCGTACGTTCATAGTTCCTTGTATAATCATTTTCTTAGTATCCTCGCGTGCCCAACGTTTGGTCGATTAACGTCAGTCTATCCAGAAAGCTGTTTCAAATTGTTCATCTCAAACGACACATCTTCAGAAATAGAAATGAAAATCGAATAGCACGTATAATCGCTAGTGAATTAATATCAATTAGAGCGACAAAATCAAAGTGTGGAAAAGCTGGAAAACTTTGAGAACATGCACGTGGTGAAACGGACGATAATGATAAAGATAGTGCAATTTATGATTAAAACTTAAAATTCTTAACTTTGTTTAACGAGTAAAGAATCAACATTTCTTTATCATCTACTCGTTATTTCGAGTTTGTATCTAGATAAGAATGTCCATTAATTGACGTTTGCAACATAACGCAACAAACGGGGCGCTCGTGCAACCGTCAGAGTTGCACTTATCGAGGTCCTACTGCATCGATAATTGTAAAGTATAAAATATGCAACAAAGAATAAAAGAAGTCATCGATGTGTTCGGAAATCGTCGGTTAAGCTATCTACTGCTACGGATAAGAAATAAATCTGTAACATGTGAACTCGAATTGGAAAACACTTGACAAAAGCCTTACCCGTTTGGAGTCCTCGTGTGGAAGAACGTACGTACCGTACATACATGCAGAGTTTCCAAGAACGATGGCAAATAACGAATTGGCACGTCGTGTGAAGCGAGTGGCTCCCATTCGTAATCGCTGTAACAGTCGACGCTATCGTACAAATATCGATATGCAAGATAAAATTAATTTTAAGATGAAAATAGTTGTCGAGAATGACTCGGCATACATGAAACGATTACTTGTATTAAAATTATTTTTATCGAGACATTTAGCGATTTAAAAATTCATGAATAAATTAAAGATTTTAAATTTTCTTAAACGTCGATCGAAGAATTTTTTGATAGATATTATTGAAACAAATATTAGATGATTATGTAGCTGTGCAGAATATAAAAATTAATCTGAAAAATGTATAATAACAGTTCTTTTCATTCTTACATGAAAAAGAAAACAATTTGGATACAATTTTACTAATTGTTCTCATATTTGTATCGTCAATCGATAAACACATATTTAACTTCGATCTGTTGAAGTCGCGTTGCGTTAATTAATCGGATGATATTTTTGCATGACTTATCGGCTACTGTTCGCAACATATGCTGGCATGAAACGGAATTTACCACATATTCTAACTCGTTCAATAAACTTTCTTATCTTAAACATGTTTACGATTGTCTGGGCAGCGTTTCCTAATAAGAATCGAATATCGAATCAATCTTGAAACGATCTATCTCAAAGGGTTCTCGCAATCGTAACATTCTAGAATAATATTCTTATCGATAAACATAGATTGTTTCGAGCGCGGTAAAACGTCGGGGAATTTTTATCTTCACAAATGCAGAAACAATTCAATAAACGAAAATTGCAAAAAGGAATCGGAATATCAACATTCAAAATTGAAAAAAAAAACAAATAGAAATAGTTGTCGAAAGTTTAAAGCAATGGAATAATTAAAAAGGATAATTAGAAACAAAACATGTGGCTGACAAATAAAATGTTCAAAAGCAAAAAAACAAAATAATTCGTAAAATATTAATACGTAAGCCAAAATGTTCCGAAATTTGATTAAAAATTGGAACGTTATTTTAAAACATAAAAACAGCGGGAAAATCAAAACCACGGATTAAAAAACAATTATTATAAGCAATCACATGATGATCTTATAATATAAATTTTTTATTTATTATTGCCAGTAGTATAAAATATACAAACGCATACAAATGTATGTAACAAGTGTATAGTATACAATATTTGTAAAAAGTTATTGGGAATTAAGCAAAGCTGAATACTTTTTAAATTGTAGTTGAGTAACATTAATCAATAGAAAATGCCCATAGATGGATGTGCTCTTATTGAGCTAACGTTTGTTGCAAAATCTGTAATTAATTTATTGTATACGAATTAGTCTACTATACTACTTAGACTGAAGTGTAAAAACGATTAATATAATCATGTACCTCAGTGTAAATTGTATTTTAAATTATTTAAACATCTTGTTGATTTGTTACTGCCCCATGCAGTGGTTTACTGTCGTTTGTTTTTGTATAAGATAAAAACATGCGCGTCTTGCATTAAATGTTATTCTAACTCAGTAAAAGTAAATAGCTTTTAAGTAGAATCACATTAATAACTTAATACTGTATTAAATAATAAAGTTTGTTCCCCTTGCTTTTGCTTTGTAAGGCAGTGTTGGTTTGGAAAATATGTTTGCAATTTTATGCTGCAGCTGTTTAATGCATTCTGGAACAGGAGTATACTCCGTAAGGTTTTCTAAAAACGGCCGTTTAAAAAGCCTTTTTCCTTCCAGACGTTGTTCTGGTGTCACAGTTCTGTCATCCAGATGTACCAAATGAGGGAACCAAGATATGATGAACAACCTTTTTTTAAAAAAACGTTCCTCTAAATATCCGAATAAAGTATGCACATGCACCATAGTTAGATAATTCTCTTATTTAGAAAACTGGAATTGGCCTATTTGTACTATTTCTCATACCTGTACTGAAGGTAGTCATAAAAGGTTCCACCGTTCAAATAACTTGGTGCTGCCTTATTACCCATAAGGCACAAGTATCTGAGGTTGGGTAAACTCTCATGGAGATTCTTTATAAATGGATACAATTCCTCTACGTTATTATGATTTAACCACAGAAGTTGAAGTTTTGGCATATGTGGGAATACAGTGTAGTCATCTATATTATTGTGATCTAAGTTAAGAGACGTCAAATTTTCAAATTCAGCCAAAAATTGTAAGTTTCTAAACAGACAATGGATGAAGAAAAGATTCACTTTATTCTAAGCCTTTTGTCCGTAGTCGTGCAAAAATTTTTGTATGCACAAATAGTTTTAATGATACATACCTACTGAATTTATTGTGACTAATATCCAGAGTATGCACGGTACTACTATAATTTTCAATAATGTCAAATGGCATGTAGAAAAGGCTCTCAAAAGCAAGCGATAAAGAATCAACAGTATCTATAGATGACTTATCTGTAGATAAAGACTTTGAGTGTCTGCAATGTATATCTACAAATATTAGCTTCCCTAAAGAAGTCATGGCTAATTGTTCCACCTCGTCTGCTTCTTTTTGTAATTCTAACTCATCTCTGTAATCCAACCTGTAAAAATTGTGTTCTATACATGATACATTGATGTTGCAATATTCTGTATCTTCAGATCACAAATTTTAGGTATTTCCAAGCGCTTAATAATCAAAAATAGTTTAATAAGCAATGTGAGTAGCTAGCAAAGTATTTTCTGCATTTATCTACTGGTGAAAGATATATTCTTTTATATATAAATAAAAATTACCAAAGCACCAACTATTAATATTGATAATTTATTTTAGAATTCTGTTAGTTAACATTGCAAACATTATATCTTGAATGATAAAAATGAACAATTTAATAAATTTTCACTTGGAAACTTTTCTACATATAAAAAGACTATTATAAGTACACATGTTCAATATATTTTAATGGCTCACAGTTATTAACAATTAGACTCCCAAAGAAACCCATAACCATAGTACTTACATCATGCCTCGACTTGTATCACCTTATAGGGCAGTAACTTTGAACGAACAATCAACGCGTTAGAATCATGCAATATACTTTTCACTCACTACATTTATCAATATTATTCACCCTAACATTGGCGAAAGCTACAGCTTGCATTGACAGATAATATTGCGTAAATAGAAGAACTTGTAAGGCTTCTGTGTAATATGCAATGCTGCATATAGTGATTGGGTCAACCATAGTGAGTCTTACTGCGGTGTGATTGATACTGAACTCTCAGATCGCAAGGAGGTAACAGGTAGAGTTTATCGTTTATCAGATGACAATGGGCGATAAGATACGGATGAAAGGAATTAACACTAAAACGGTATCTAGGTTTCAAGCGATTCCGATAGAGACGAAAGAGTTTGAGGTTAAAGCATCGGCTTTTATATAACGTTAAAATGTTAGGTAACGCATTAACACCATACACAAAATGTCAGTAACATTAACCGACATAGAAACATAAATAGTAATTTAAACCATGCTATGCACTCACCGAATTTTCCTGCATATCTTGTTTTCAAATTTTCCCATCGACCAGATTACAAGTTACGAGACGATAAATACTTCGGTGTGAAAGGAGATGGTGCTGCTAGTATGAACTTTTTTCAAACGTTACTGTCAGAGTATAATCGAAGTACAAGCATCGATTAATCGTTCTCTACAATCGTTCTCCATTATAGTCTTCAGTTTGGCGGTTAAACGTTATCTCCTGTGTGTGTTACATTTTCAAATATTTTATGATAAAGAGAAAGGTAAGTGGTACGAAATCGACAGAAAGGTAGCAGTAAAAGCAGTTCAAATTCGGTATAACACAAATATGACAGCAAATGAAATGTGTGGTAAGTTTTATGATAGAATTATTTTTTTCTTTGCATGCTTCGCAGGATAAAATGGCGTCATAGTAGATGTCATACTCAATATGCCTATTTTCTGTATATTGTTTCGATATAATTGTATATTAAACAGAGTAATTAGGAATTCATCGTTATCTATATAGAGTTGAAGGAAAGGGTATGTGGATAATGAATATCTCTTACGATTAAGGAAAACAGTATGATTTAATATAAAAAAAATTAAGAAGTAAATGATTTGCTCGTTCCGTTGTTGATGTTACATTTTAAGATAGTAATAGAAATGAGTAAATAAAAAAATGAATGAAAACAAATCGTTGTACGTCGTATCCACCTTAAAGAACGTATCCAGACGTTAAAGTCTGGAATATATGCACCTCGACAAACGACTCGCTAACAAATACTATTTCGTAACGAAATGAAAATAACTCACAATAAAGACGAGAGAAATGTGCTGCTTGGATATAAATCCCAGCCATCCCTCCATTATAAAATGCTCCCGTATAGAGTCACGCTTATTTCCATCTGGAAGTATGGCATTCAATTGCAGGGACGTGCCAAGAAGTAATGTACCAACGTAATTTAGTGATTTCAAAACAAATCCCTGAAAGCAATTACAGCCAACCCTTGGCTCATTAGGAACGAGATACTATACAAATATCTAACGATATACAGTATTGTCTCTATAGAAGCGACGCTCTCGGGGCTCAACGCTCGGCTATATCGTGGACGAGAAACGATTCTTGATACTTTGTTGACGCCTACTGGAGGCGGCGAGTATAGAAAAGAACAGCGAGCATATGACAAAGAGGGACTGAGCGGCCGAGCATCGCCGAATTTGCTATCGCTTCCTTCGCTTCGGGTCGGCTGTAACGAAACACAGGCGATGTTTATGCGAGCCTATACGAAATCGGTGTTCTAATTCTGACCTCTACCTCTCTTGGTAGAGGTCGCAGAATGAAATACTGATTCTGTATAGGCTCGCGTAAACATCGCCTGTGTTTCGATACAGCCGACGTGGAGCCACTTGAGCGATGCATGCCTTTGATTTCTTATTGCGTTAGTAAATAGGACCTAAATTGTATATCGTATTTGGTGTCATTTTAATTAGAAAAGTGTCACGAATATGTTGATGAAGTTCGAAAAAAGGAAGAACAAAAATAAAGATAAATTTCGTTGTTGATTTAATATTGTATATGTACTAGTTAAATCGTGTCATAACTAAAGTACATATATGTATGTATCGCTCATTTACTGCAATAGTGATATGACTCAAAAAGATACAAACTTGCGAATTTGAACTGTTTAACCAACTTATTTTACTCTGAGTTCTCTCACGATTTCAGCAAATAAATGATAGGTCAATTAAATTACAATTCCTTTTTTCAGACGAGGATACACTTTAAAGAAAGGACAAATGTATATTATAATTTATGAAAAACAATAATAAAAATTATGTTGTACTTGATCTTAGTTAAATCAGAAAACTGTCACAGACATGTTAAAAGTTTTAAAACAAGAAAAGGAAAAATAAAAAATTTGACAATGCTCGACGACCGACCGTCAAACGGGCCGCTATCCTGGGGAACCGCCCATAGGAAGGCACACTCGCCGGTTCAACGAGTGCTGGGTTCTAACGGTACGCAGTGGGGATAAGTAGAGGGGATACGATATTTGTCTATATCGTGGACGAGTTCTGAGCTTATATAGAGAAAATACTGTATTACGTTCACGAAGAAGTTGAAAACTTTGTCACATGGTATAAAAATAAATTGGTTAAACATTCTAAACTCGATACTGAAAAGGGTATCTTATTTAGTATCTGATATATTACCAATATAGTGAGGGGGCTGGTGGTTCATTTAACGATCCGACTATCTACCCCACAATTATTAAATGTTTATTTCCGCGGGTGTGGGTGTGTAGCCACACGTAGGTTGATGTTAACCCCGATACTATCACGTCGTTAACCGACTGATTCTTATGGACTGCACAACGTCTTTACCAGACTGATCGTGAACGCGTCTTTACCCTTCTCAATATTTCCTTACCCTAATAGTAAAGGTAGAGAGAAAGAGACAGGACAAAAAGATGGAAAAACGAAACTGGAAAATACTTAGTGTAGAGAAAGTTTGGGCGAAACCTTGAAGGAAAACAGGCGCCTCGTACGGCTCTGGTCGCCAAGTGTTTAACAGGACGACCAGGCTCGCACGAGACCTTGGGAAAATGGAAAAATAGAAAGGTTAAAACTATCCTTACATTCCATCCATACCATGGCATAGTGGCAATACAATGGCCGCTACAATAGTATAAGAAGGAACATCAAAGAACTACTTATGAATCAGGTTTGAAAAGACCATCCAGATCGCTGATAGCGTCCCCGATTCTCTTGATTGAAATTCCCAGCGAAGAATGTTTAATGGATGTACCAAACTGACCTTTTTCCTGTCAATAATAAACATGGGTCGCGATTTATCGTCGCACGCTGTACAGACACTTCTACACAGAACACTATTTACACGTTTCATGACTTCGACGCGCATATTTATACGCGTATCTTCGCGGGCAGTGATTGATGATAAAAACGTATATCAATGCAGACTTTACATCGGTTCGTGCCTTCCGATGATAAAATTCGTGTCATATCTGAGGATTATTGACGTACGTACAAATTGAATGTTTATAGTATACATAAAGAACATCGATAGCAGTATATTAAATTTGAAACTAGTTATAGTCTCGCGGGGTTTGCATTAAGAAATGAAGATGCTTACTTTATAGCAATAATAAAGGTGCAAAGAATTTGCTCAGCTCTTCCAGGTCCATTCTCTCGAAGCACTAGCAATATATGAAACTTGTTCCAGCAACTCTCGAACCCTAGCAGTTATAAAGACACAAGTTCTATGGTTAAAGCAATCAAGTGTCTTGTTTCAATCAATTTTATATATTGAGACCTTGAACTGCGAGCGTCTGCTGTAGACATTTAATATATGTATATTATCAAGCTATCCGTCATGTACGAAGCAAGTGATTATCACAAGCAGACGTGACGCACATTAGTAAGGAATGCATTACAGCGACGATGCATGCAAATTCTTCTAACAGTCGTAAGCGAGACGAATAAGTCCAGACACGTGAATTTAGTAAACTGCGGATTGTTTATTGCAGAGAAAGTTCTTTTAGCCTTTATCGTAGATGGTACCTTTGATATATTTTGAGGTTGTTACGAAGGTTGATAGCCCGACGCTATTTCGCTTTCTGAACGATTATGGCTGGGTTAGAGGGTGAGTGAGAGTGTGATATAAACCATGCACCCTTATGGGCAGCCACGACGTGGATCGAAGTCACTTAGCTTTCGGGTGTCGTAAGATTGAATGTTTAGAGTGGGCCTGGATGTGTTTAGAAAGATAAGTAGCATGAAGTTGCTTTGTCTAAGGATAGTGTTCCGAGGGATCTGGTGTAGGGAAAGTTATGCCATCTGGTAGGAGGACTACGAGGAACAATATGGCGCACTGAAACGTGCGCCCTTCCAAATAATAAATTTCTTTAAACGGAGAAAACAATTTGGAATTTGAGAAGAAATATAATTTTGAAAATTATTCAGTGCATATAGAATATTATACATGATACTGAAATATATTGTTGTTATAATATTTACGATGTAACTTGGCTGACATAATATTTATCAACACGTTGTAACATATTTTTAAGTGTTAACAATTTACTTATTTTATTGATTGACTTTTTATTAAGGGTCTTCCAATCTCCCGTTAAATGTACAATAATTTCTGACTCGATGAGTCGAACTACATCCATCAAAGAGGAGGCTACTTTCAAAGTAATTTATCAGTTAACAAAGCAGATGATTTATTAATACTTAAAAGTGTAATACATTATTGTGATATACGTATGCGATGTTACATGCACCGCAGTAGGAAATATGATACTGTTTCGTACGAAGTTCCAGAGGATTGTCAAATGCACGCGTACATCCATTAATTTTCAAAGTCGTTTATTTCAATAACAAAGGCTCGATGAAAATAAATTATTCCGAGTATTTTGTTCAATCAAAAATGGAGATGTGAGTTTCATTTACGATTTATTTATTAGTACTTCAGTTATTTATTTATTTAAATGCACACTCAAGAATATTTATAGAATCTTTGTGGAATACAGATGTTAAATGCTTTAAATAAATAAATAAATTTCGGGCAAATCCATTTTGAAAATAAGTTCGACCAAGTAATTTTCTTCTCGACGTGACGAACGCTTCATCATGTTTATATAAAAAGTTCGTGAAGTTTCAGGGAAAATATAAAATTATATTACGTAGTTTGAGTTTGAAACTCCCAGGAACACGAACAACTCTTCTCTTTTTTAATTAAAAAATGTTTTCTGAAACTCTGTCTGGAAAGTAATTTTGTTATCAATGTTTATTGTAGATTCGAAGCTTAATATTTATTATAACGTTTTTGTAACTTTGGACCTCTTCGGTAGATCGTGTAGCTTAATTAAAATGTATACATACCTGCAACTTAGGAAGGTAGAGATTTCTTAATAATAGAATGATTTTTGTTATTTGACGTTTCATCTGCAAGAATGAAAATCGAAAAAAAACATAAACCATCGAGTTAATGGTTTTAATTTTCTTTTATTGTACACTCAGAATTACATGACAGGCTATGTTAGATCGCGACAACAACGTTATTGTTTATCTTGAAGCAGAACAATGTTTCGAACGGTACAAATAAACGTAAATATCTCTCAGTCGTATTCGTACGCATGACCACAATTTTGGAAATATTTAAAATTCTTAGATAAATGATGTTTACGAGAAATAATTACGTTTCTTTACAAGCAACGGAAGAGCTATGGAAACGTCAACAATTCCAGAGTTAGTAATTATTCAGTATAAAAATGATAAGAATTAACAGAGAATAAATATAAGTTAAACAGAAATTGTAATTCAATTTGTTTATTTAAACAATGATGAAATTGAAACGAATTTTTACTGTTATGGCTGAATTATGATGACTGTATTCAGTGCCTATGCTCTTCATGAATACGAATTCGAGTAATTGTCTTGTCTTTTTATTTGCATTTAAGGGGTCTATCTAGTTTAGAAATGAAAAGAAAATTTTAAAGCATGAAGTTTCCTCTACATTTCGTATCAAAACTAATTCGATATTTGTGAAGGTTTCCTTATCACTGGTAAAGCCACAAAAATGTATGATTTTTGTTTTTTTTTATTTCTGGCGACCAGAATGTTTATTATATCAGTTACGAAGTTTACAACAAAATCAGTATGCCTTTACAAATTTTGAATTAGTTACGTCCAATAGGTTGCTCTGAAAAAAAGCTTAAATATTGTTCAATTTTGAAAAATCGAGAACTAGACAGACCACTTAAGTTGAACCTCTATTGCCCACAAAAAGAACATTATTCTCTCTTTGAAACACGTTTCTTTCGCCGTGAACAGAACTAACGGCACGCAATAGAAATTATAATAATCATTAAAAGTGTTTTACAAAGATTCTGTCATGCCTACAGGAGTCTCACTGAAAAAAACCGGGCAATAGACGGTGAAATAGCCTAAAATTAAAATACGTACCAGCATTCAGTTCCCCGACTGTCCCTTCAAGTCAACATCGATTAAAATTTATAAATCTCTTTAATCACAATTTATTGAAAACTCTGTCATTCAAATATATACATATATATGTATATATATATTTATATTTATATATTTCTGTAGATATACGTATGCTCCTTTTATTTCTCGATATAACAGCATATATATATATATATATAATGTCTATACAAGACACATTTAGGGCGATACCGACAACTCGTTTAAAATATGTATAACGCCTCGTCCGTGGATGCTCCGTACACGATAATTAAGCCAACTTGTTTGAAACTTCTAAAACGTTTCCAGTCGTCGTGCCGATGGATACGAAGTTACTTTTATTTTTTTCTTTTTCTATTTTTTCTCAATGCCGTACCACGTCGATCTTTTCCCAACGTAACACGACAAACGCCTGCATCTATGTGGGTGCCATTATTCCGGAACAAGTTTTATTTTAAACTCTGAAAACACCGTCCGCCTTGTCGCGGACTGGAGGGAAGCATTATTCGCTAATTAAACGCATCGTCTGATACACCGGTTCAAAAAACGATTTTTACCGCCGAACGAAGGTGACTCGCGCAGCTCGTGACCGTTACAGTTCGTTTTTCTTACAATTAAATACGCTACCGATAAAAACATACAACGAGATATAAATTATTACGGGACTGGGACTATTCGAATATTGCGAATAAATTTCGAACAGTTGAGTATTAAAAATATTAGCTCGCGTAAAGCGTCGTATTTGTGTTACGTCTTATTAGTCGAAGCGAAGCCGATGATTCTTACGAGATGATCGATAGTACTTGTACGAGTACATAGAAGTCTTTTTCTGTTTGTACAATGAAGTTTAAATATAAGGAACGTTGTACGATATCCTAAATGAAAATAAAATTTAACCCTCTATAAACGAAATTAATTTTTACTTCTGAAATAAACGATGGAATAGAACGTTGTTTAGTGTTGATGATAGGATATTAATTGAGCGCTAAATTTTAATTGAAACCTATCGATCTTATTCACCCTGATGCAGCAAACTATAAAGGGTTAAGAAGTAATGATGAATTTATGATACTTGATTAATACCAAGATGCACAAAATACTCGATACTCAAACATTCGAATAGTATTCGAATTATATTCGCCGAACATATGAACCATCGAAGTGTTCTAATGCAGTAAGTCCTCGAGTTGCACACATTATGGTCTTATAAAATGGACCAAAAAATGGTAGTCCTATCCTCTAGCGGAGAAACGATGAAACATAATCTTTTATAGTTGCGCGTGAGTTGGCAGGAGGATATACTGTATATGTATATTCTGCGCAGATATAGTAGTTGTGTTTCACAGTTTCTCCGCTAGAGGCGCTAGTAGTAGGAAGGACAACTATATTTTAAATAAATACCATTTATTAAATTATTCTTTATACAAAGCAGCACGAATTTACTTTTCGAAATTAACGTTGATTAGCTAATATATTGCAGGAAGAAAGGATAATCCTGGATAGAATGGCGAGTAGTACGTGAATACCGTCCACATTATCTTTGACCTGAGACTGATTTCTCTTCTTCCCTGCCAATATATCGAATTTATCATCGACTTTGGTACAAATTAGCCGAGGAAGTCGAAAACTTACTGTACTCGAATACAGAAAACTTCGACAAGCAGTCCCAGCCCTGCTTCGCCGCCATGTTTATCGAATGGTGGGAAGAATTTCGTTCCGCGCGTCCATCGTGAATTCGGGACGGTCAAAATTTTCTTTAAATAATAAATGACGAATGGGACCAACATATAGCAATTTAATCGCGACGCTGACTCGATCGTGCAGTTAAATTTTAATTGTTTGATCGTGAAATATTTAATTTTGTTTTTTATTCGCTATCTGGACGAGAATGGCCGTCTCTGAACTCGCGAGAACGATTGTTTTTACACGGCTAGGAGTCAACGAAATATCTGCTGCCGAATGATCGCGATCGTTCGTTACGGAATCGATAAAATCAAAAGGTTTGCCTTTTATTTCGTTGTCAAACAAGAATAACCTCTGACCGGTGATTATTTTATGAGTAGAGGTAAATTGACCACGAGAAATCAGACGAATGGACGATACAATGGCGACGCATAGGAAATGGTAATAATACGTCTCCCGGTTCACGCGTAACGGGAGAGTTAGAAGGAAGTTTTTCCGAAAATAAAGTTTCCGGCTGTGGTCAGCTCGTCCGAGGAGAAATATTGCTTCCAGAGGTTGCTGAATTTCTCCCAGGTTATTTCCTGACCCTATGCAAATAGAAATGTCGTGACAGTATTAGTGGGTAGTCTCCAATATCGTGTCGTGCGATTTACACTTACGACTCCTAATTTTTTGAAAGCCTCCTTGGCCTCGGCTTCCGGTACGCCATGATATCTGCACACGTTACAGAACTCGGTCTCGTCGATGGATTTGTCACCTGGTGAACATTACGATCAGCGTAAATACCCTATTTCCCCTTTTTCGAACCAAATATCATTCCTTTTATGGCGATATTTACAACTAAATTACAAACTAAGCTAATGGTTGAGTATTTTTCTATCCGCATAGCTCGTCTCTGGTTTGATTGTCTTAGCTACATTGCGTCACAACATTCTCGTATTTTTAGTAGAATTCTGTTGGTCGAGAAACAACTCTCGAGTTGGAAGGAAGGCAATATAATTCTTTTCCATCGTTTTGAAGAATCGAAAGCACAATAAACTTACCAGACGCATCGAACAACTGGAACATCAATGTCATGTATGTTTGTTGCCATTCGGATGGGTTCGATGGATCTTTCGCGTATTCTTCCCAAAGTGAATACCATTCCTCTCGACTAACCTGAAAAACACAAGTGGAAAAATAAAATCTCTGAACGGAAACATGATTCAGACATTCTTTCACCCCTTACGCAGCGACCGGAATATGATAATGACCGTGTACAAATGAAAGTTTCTTTCGACGAAACGATGTAACACTTTTTATAATTTCTTACTTGTCCATCTTGATCTGCGTCGGCCCTTTGCCTCAAACCGTCCCACATTTTTAGCAAATTATCCCTCGTGCTTTGAACTTTGGGATTGTCAGGAGTCCAGCCTCTGCATTCGCTGATTCGCTAATATTAAAAATAAAAATCATATAAAAATATCGTTCGAGTATCGTAATTCAATCATAAATTTATTAAATTGTTTTTAACAAGAAAAATGTATTAGCTTGTCACCAAGTATTATTTGAAGTTGTCAATGGGAGTACGATTCCTCAATTAACTGTTTCTATTTAATAAAAACGAGACACTATCGATTCTTAATTAAGAACAATTAGATGCTTACTTGCACAGCAAGGTCAAGATCCTTCTTATCGATCGCGCCACTTTGATTGCAATCTAAAACATTGTAAATTCAATAATAAGTCACTGATGAGTCATGAATCTCGAAATAAATGTTTTTCTAAATTACTAGACTTAATTATCTTGATTACGACTTGGTATCGAAAACAAAATAAAACACACAAATTTTGTATATTTACAATTTCTATTCACGAACGCGTTTCGAGGCGTTAGATTGTCTTTTAACTAGGGGAATCCTATTCTGAACAGTTACGAATCAGCCTAATGCTGGTAAATCTCGGGCCGAGTTGACACAACGGAACGGTACGACTTGAACCAAGTACTCTCGATCGCAAAGAAATTGAAAAGACAGCTAGCTGAGGAAGAAGTAGGTGTTTGGCACGGGACCAAAAGAGAAAAGTGTGATCCAAGAGATAAAGCGTAGGACGTTTAACATCACGTTCGGGTTTGGCGTCAGAGCCATCGTCGCATTAAGTTCACGGAGCCCGCGTTAACTTCAATACCTCGTTTCTGGCGCTATTAGACTCGCTGGGGCACATTAGGCGAACGGAAGACCCCCTAAAGGACTTCCAGGAAACGATAAAGATATTTATTTTAGCTTCTTTTTCTGATTTTTTGATAAAAACCCAGTGTTCTATATTATAATCTCCATTTCAACCCTTAACGGGGGCATTTCTATACCTCAAAATGTACTATTAAAAAATATAAACCAGCCAACTTCTTTGCACGATTGTCTTCATTTTATGCGGTTCGTTGCATAAAATATCAGAGCACAATATCGAGTGGAAATAAAATAAAAAATAAGCAGCCCACGATAGCAGTTGAGGGTTGAAATCTATCTATCCATGTATTTAAAATTAATAAAATTCTTCCTGAATTTTGCGGACTTTAATTAAAAAAATAAAATGTAAAAGTGATTTGGGACAGAGGGAAAGGGTAGAAAAATTCAAGGAAAAAAATGAGAATTAATCGATAGGATGGGAATGTTTGCTACGCGACGGAAAAATGTTGGTTTCCCGGGCTCGTGTAGTATATCGTTCGGCTCGAGTCGATGATCGAAACAAAACCCCTACCGGTGGAGGTTCGCGTTTCACGGGGAAAGTTATCTAGGAGGATGGGGGGAGGGCTCGATCACGTAGGCAAAACACGTGACAAGGAATCGATGTAATGAAATATGGGCGTGAAACAGGAGTGGGTAGCCAGAGGGTTGGAATTTTGGCCTCTGTCCAAAGAGAACCCTGGTGCAAGATTTCACGGTAGACCCGCGGAAAAGGCGACCTCTTGTCGATCGTGCCATTCATCGTCCGTGGCAAGGTTGTCGCCGTGTGAATCGGACGTCATTAGTTTTCGCTGGTCGTCCCAATTTCGTGGCTCGTGACTCGACTCTTTTGCTTCTTTCAACCGTCGGCCATCTTTGGATCTGTTTATTAACGCCATAACGACTCCTTCGTGCTTGGGCCAGTTTGGACCCACAGCACCTTCGTTTCACTTTATATTGTTTACCCGTGTCTCTCGACAGAATATTTTATAAATTTAAAAACGCAGAGGAAAAGTTGTCTGCCACGTTTTTTTAATAAAACTAAATTTATATCACGCCAAACGTAATGATTAGACTGCGGATGTTTATGCAAATGCATATGTTTCTAGGAAATAGGTAGAAGAGTGAAACCTAAATATAAATTTGTTTTATCAATGGAGGTCTTTAAAAATATTTTGCATATTTTTTATAAAAACATATGTAGAAACATACTACCTATGCCATATATCTTTTTATGAAATTAATGCTTACATTCAACGTTTGTATACTATAGTGGTGGCAGGAATGACAAAATAGACGTATATTTTGTCATGCATTGGTTATCCTATTCCCCTTTTCAGGATTTCGAAAGTAGTACAGTGCGCGTTGTGAAATAATCTGACAAAATGGCAGCTTGTCGAATATTTATGGAATTGTTCGGAAGCCAACTTGAATTTTTAAAAAACCAAAAAGCATAGCTCGAAAGTTATAAATATTACATCAAGCATGAAGTAGTAAATTACATTTCTTGGGTTTTATTTTTCAATATTTGTTGTCATATTTCTTATAAATTATTAAATTTGCCAATGAATTTATTGTCAGTAATTTATTCGAATTTATACAAATTAATGCTGGTATTATTAAAATGAATGGTTAATCTTCATTTCACTATGATTTTAATGAAATCAATCACTGTCTGGTATATGTCACGTGAAATTTGCCTACTAAAAATCAGTCCATAAAATGAACTTTTTACACAAGCGAACTTACCTGTCGCGTTATAATTTATTACCAGTCGATGTTAAACTTGCTTCGTTTGTTATTACAATCGCACAAATCTTCAACATATTTGCTTCTGTCAAGCTTATGCGTGTTACAAAGCCGCCTGCGCCGTGAATAACGACTTTCATTAAGAAGCTCATAAATCTTTGGAATAAAGTTTGATCGAAATTCGGACGCAGTCGTTTAGTCTCGCATTTGGAACTATTATAAACAAATCAGAAACTATGCTACCGCCGCTTTAATAGCTGAAATGCAAACTTTTCCCGATATCTATAATCTCATTCTTCGTCCAGAACTTTTTGGAATTTACTCTCCAGCACTAGTTTCCACTCGCCCACCCGCTTCCCTTCAATTTATAGATTCTTCAATTATCAATAACCATTTCATCGACTCCATTCCACCCAACTCCTTGAACCAGTGTTTTCCAAAGGGAGCAGAGGTAAAATGGAATTTTCAATTTACAAGAATGCAGCTGACACGTTTATTTCTATTAATATTATTTATAAATTATATAACTTATATTAATAAGTTATTAAAGTTAAAGAACAGTGTAACGTTATATCATTTATTAATTTTAGGTATAAAAGATTTTTTTTTTAAGTCTATTGAATGTGTTCTTTCTTGACAAACTTCGATATTTCATCAACAGTTCCGCCATTATTCTGGTGCATCGATTCATTTTTCGGTGCTACAACGCCTTTTATTCATTTAACAGATAGCGTATTGCATCCATTTGATTAATGCATTTGGTACTATAAATCGTAACTTGTTGCTGGCTCGGTAGTTTAGATATAAATGTTACGGGTTTAAACTGGTTCCGTGCGTGTCGCTTGCAACAAGTGAGACTTAATCCATTTCCGACATTTTGTGCGAAACGTTCTATCTACTGTGGAGTGTCTGTTTACGACCAACAGGTACTTCGTCCCTTAAATAAATAGTGATCATTCTAACCAAAATCATAGACTTTATAATATTTTGTTTCATCTCTAATGTACATTCAAAGGCAAAAGTTGGTATCTTTTATCAATGATATTAAAGTTAGCTGTTTCAATAAATACAAGGCAATATGATCGATTCATTGTGTTTAAAGAATCCACGCTAGAACACAATCGTCGCAAATGGTTAACAATTTCTTTTTAAATGAAACTTAAAATCTCGTAGGAGGTCGTAAAAATATAAATGGCCGTCATCGTCGAAAAAATGCTGATGAAATCGATAGCAAAGCTGACCTAGCATACCTTGCCTCAGACACAAGGTTAACACTGTTAGCTCGCTGCTAAAAGTTTCACGTAAGAACTTTAAAGACAGCGTCAATCGGAATCTAGTTACGTCGGAAGCAACGAGCGCTGCGTCAGCCATATTGGCGAATTCACCGACGCTAACTGAACGAAACGTCAGTTTTTATTTCTATAACCTTTTCTTGTGAATTTATTGTAGCTTTCTCTGTAAAATAACACGTAAAATTTTATGTTCTATTATTTGTTTTCTACGTTTCAACGCGATTAGTTTTGGAGTCCATTTTAATTCGTGCAAGTAAATCTAAATCGGGGAACAACGTACCGCCGCTAGAAATCTGGTATCGTTATCTGGAATATTGTGCTTGAAGCGGGGCTGCTTTTTAAAATCTAGAAAGGGCGGACGTGTCAAGTGAAAGCAACTGCAAATGAAACAACGTTCTGTTGTTTAAAACGCCACTTGCGCGACAGTTTACTTTAAATTGCACCTCCTTTGCCATCTACGAACGGAACGGCTCCATTAACTGGAATCAACTGCAGAAAAGGCAGCATCCTCTCTTCTTATAATCCTATTTGTTTCTTTTAACGCTTTACTGTAAATTGCAACTCAAGCCGAATGTCCGAAACAAAAGTTGTATAAACAATCAGGGCTACTACGGACGAAAGTTGCATTTTTTAAATTCATTTTGCTTCGTTTAGTACTAATTTCAATTTACAAACAGATCCAGAAGAAGACGATTCTGTTAAATCGGAGCAATTAACCCCCTTGCCATACAATTACGTGTCTGACTCGTTACAAGTTCTTGATGTCAAGATTCACCATTATGAGGCCACTCACTCGTCATCAAGTCTCATAAATTAAAATCAACACATTTTTACATTCAAGAGGCATTCGTAAAATAAATCTATTCTTTTCCTGCCCATTCCTTGCACGAACAAATTTAAACAAAATTAAATAGTATACGTTTGAAAAATTATTTGGATCGTAAGTCAAGGGGTTAAAGGTGAAATCACATTCTGTTGGTAATCTTTAAAAGTGAAGGGAAAAGTATAGAAAATCGAATAGAATAATCTATTATTTAATTTTAGGAGTATTGACCTCGGATAAAATCATCTAATTTGAACCTAATAACATTTACGTTAGAGAATTTCTATTCTTATATAAAATGCACTATAACTATTGCGACATAACCTAACTCGATGCGTGGAATTGCACTGAAATGCTCCAGCGTTTTGGTGGATATGACGTCTATTACCTTAAACCAACTATGCAAGCGGTGACATCATTGTCCCCGGGGGTGTTTTTCTAAAAACGAGTCTGGACGTCTCGATTGAAGTGAAATGGGTCGGCGCGGATAGAAAAACATTCTGAAAATTCACATGCCGCCATTTACCGCGAAAGAGACACTCCTGGAATTATTCCAGCGTGTTAATGATCAGAAGATTTCGGTCACGTTCGTTCGGGGATTTTATGCAGTGAGAATAATCGATGCTTTGAAGTAGCCAGTCGCCTAACGCAAATTCCACGAATAATAATACCGTGACAATACAGTGTTAAACAAATGGTATTCGAAGACACTGGATATTTTAGACACTCTATATATTAGTAATGTCCTTAGAGGTGTGCATAATTAATGTCAAGTTTGTATCCCATGGTCAAAGAAACTTAAGGAAAATAATGTAAAAATGTATTGATTTTGGTCGGACAAAATGATAATAAGAAGTATGTATTTCCCTATCAACAAAAAATAATTTTCCCAGAATGATTTAAAATTGTTTACTTTTGTCGAAAAATTTGTCCACCTTCTCGAATTTTTTTCTCGAAACTGGTTAGAATTTCAGGGGTATGTCTATTCACCAAAAATGATTGTAATTGACCTCTGCAACTGAAAATAATTTTTTTAGATCGATTTGAAATTTTTTTTTTCGCCGAAAAATTTAGGCACCTCAAATTTTTTTCTCGAAAGTGAGTAGAATTTCAGGGATATGACTATTCACCAAAAATGATTGTAATTGACCCCCGCAACCGAAAATAATTTTTCCGTGAATGATTTGAAATTTTTTATTTTAATTTTGTTGATAACTTTTTAACGAAGCCCCAATCAGCAAATTGATATTCTTGATTTTCATCTTATTTTGGCCTCCAGAATCTCCCATTAAAATTTTTCCCAGGGGTGGCCCAACACCCTGTATAAAGTGTCTAAAATGTACACATATTCAATTATATTACGCGAAACATTAAAAAATGTCAAACGTCCTATCATTTTGTCCGACACTGTAGCTAAATTTAAACGTACGAAGCAAAGGCGAGGGTAAGGCCATGGAGCCAAAAAAAAAAAAAAAGAAACGCTCAGCTAAATGGAACCTGCCAAAGTCGACCCAAGAAGACAAACTCGACGAGAGTTAATTCCCCTAGTAATCCATCACGGGAACAGTGCCGAAACCGCGCGAAATCCACGGAAAGTCACGCGCAAATTCGAAACTTGTACGTCCTCGGTCTTTTCTCTGGGTCACGGTGAAAATTCCGTATCGACTCCGAAGAACAGCCTCGTAGGATATGTTTAGCTGCCGATCGACGGTCAAAGAAGGGAAGAAAGTAAGGGGCTAATGAGGTCCGCGAAGCGTGTACACGCCTGTGACCTCCGGGGGCTCCACACAACCGCACAACCTGAACACGTGTCCACGGTTGGGAACTCTATTCCGCAAGTTTCGCTCGTTAATTGCGAGCGGTGTTCACGCCTGGGTGTTTGCTCACGCGATACTTTGGCGCGTGACGTGACATCCCGCGCCGGTTCCCAAACTCCGCGCGGGAAAGACGCCTGCGGAGGCTGTTCCCTGGAACACGGGAGGCGCATCCAACTTGTATGAATGATTGCCTCGATACACGGATACGTACGCGTTCCGAAGATACACGCACGGGCACCGGGAAACCGTGTAATTCCAACGCGGCGCGGCACACCCTTAACCGCGTCCATTGTTTATCTCCTCTCCCGTTCGTACCATAAATAGGTGTCCAGGCTGGCTCACTTTTGCCCGAGCAGGCTGCAGCAGCGCGTTGGTGCCATACAGAGACCGAGCAAAATGTACCCGCGTAGCCTCGATCCCGCTTCCAACCCCCAAAAATGCTCTCCAGAGGGTGGCGACCGCCCCTCGACCACGGATCGTATTTCATCCCGGCAGCTGTTGTGGCTCCGGCGTTCTGGCGATAGCCCCGAAAAACGACGGGATAAGATCGTTAGGATCCCCGATCACGGAAGGATCCGTACGCCCCCGGGTAGCGTGGAAAGAACAATCGGTTTGGAGATATTGGCCCCACCGTCGACGAAGCCTCGGATTATCGTCACGATGTAGCCAAGAACGAGACGAACCGTCTGTATAATTTCCTTGGGACTGTCAGGTCTCGTCGAGGATATGAGGTAATTGCCACGGAATTGGATTACTTGGAGCATTAGCACAGCACGCTAAGCACCTGCGGAGCGTGTCTCCCGCGAAAATACCACCGAGCTTGTATCTTGTGGTCTTAACATATTTACCGAGCAACAATTTTATGTTTCCGTTCACGGCTGATGGCGGAAAGGTGTTCTAAGATTATCCCCTAACATTTAACCCTGGAATATTCCGCTTATATAGAATCTTTTTAACGCTGTGCTGGTCAACTGCGTAGCCTAAAATACCTTTAATAACTTTAAGTATTCGACAACTCAGCAACAGCCTTCGTTGTACGTTCTCAAGGGGCCTTTCTACTTTTTGGGATTAAAAAGATCGATTTTTTTTTGGCGTTTTCTTTTAGTATGTAATCTCGAAAATATATTCCATATATTCCAAATATACGTCCATAGAATAGCTATGTTACGTCAAATACTGTTTGTAATTAGTAAAATAAATTGCTCGAGAGAAACAAAATCGAAAAGTCCTTTGCCATTTTGCATATCCGAGGCTTCATTTCCGAGATTTAAACAATCGAAGTTTTACTGGAACAATTCATGGCGCCCGCCATTTGTATTCCAGCCAGCTGATCGTGCGCCTGCGCAAGGAAGACGTGTCATACGCGCAAAGCCTTTAACTATTTCTATCTCGATAACGAAGCTTCGGATTGCAAAATCGTAAAGGACTCTTTGATTTCTTTTTGCACGTGGAATTTGCATATTTTAGTATTTCCTGTATATCAGTGTTCACTTCGAAATAACAAGCACTTTATTGAACTACCAAGTATTTCAATAAACTAACGTTCTTAAAATTGAAACGATTGTTGCTAACAATTGGAGAAGTCCTGTTTAAATATCATTCATAACAAATACTTTTTACTGCTGTTAAAGTTCGATGCCTCAAGCTTAGAAATCATTCGATTTTAACTTAGATTCTAACTTAGACATTTTGAAAATTCTAAAAGACTTTGAATGAATTTAAAAGAAAATATTCAAAGATTTATTAATTGTCAGTGTCTTATCTAGAGGATAATTGGAAAAATATTTTTCACTTGTATGAAAAGTTATCCTTCAACTTCCGTCGCAAATGGTATTTGATATTACTAATTTCAACGACATCCGCGTCGATTAAAATGGCACGCTTTGCAAACGTCCCGGCACAAATTACGCGTTCATTTGTATTCAATAGTTCTTGCAATTAATGCAGATTTGATTCTCGCTTAATATCCGTGAAATCCAAGTTAAACAACACGATTGAATTTAGCAAACCAGGCTCCAAGGGAGAGCGCAGTTATCCGGCTGCAGGAGCTGCGCGAACCGTGTTGCATAATGTCAACAGTGGTTTGCTATTATGATGTACAGTGTTATACAAGAAGCCTTACAACCTTATCATTGCCATAATTTAATCCCAAATTGGATACGTTGAAGCAGTTGTTATGGAACAGACTGTTAAATATCAAACACGATATATTTCTACTTTCAAACATTTCCCAATAATTCCTATTGTGTCACTAATATTAAACTCTTTTAATTCAATATATATACGCAAAATAATAACTAACTTAAAAGCTTGTTAAAATTGAAAAGTGTCTAGAATCAAATTTGGCAAACTATCGAACACGATAAATTCGCGAGAGTCGTTTATTGAGGATAGAGATTTTACTGCGCAAGATGGCCGTTTCTCACTCACCGAAGAAAGTGTTGAAGACGTAGAGTAACTTCTTCTTGCGGAATTCCGACAGTGACATCTTGTCTATCTGCAACAGAGAGAACAGAAGAGAATGGTTAAAGTTTTGCTCGTTTGCGTGTGTCGTGTTAATATTCATTCTCGATAGAATGGCGATCAGGGTCGATTGTCTCGAGCGACCGACCCTTATTTTATCTCGTCAGTAAAAAGTAATCGCAGCTTGCTTTTATCGAGCTGCTTTATACGTCGCCTCGATATTTACAAGGCCGTCGTGAAGATACAAAATCAGCTTGGTTCGGATACACCGAACGGGTGTTCAATGTTAAATGATCGCATTTCACTTCGATCACTTTCACAATCTGTTAAATCAATTGTGGCAACTTCGTGCCATTATCTACAAAAATAGATCCTTCTCAGATATCCGTGTCGCTCTTATCTTATAAACTGTGGTCTTACGTTTGCACGACGATGAATTTTTCGAAAAGCAAATGGAGATCTTTTCGTCGGCTTCGAATCAAAATGACTGAATACACCTGCGAGAGGCGACTCTTTATATAATAAGATTTAAAGGTCTTGCTAAAGATAATGCGTGTATTTGAATACCAAATGACGTACATTTCGTCGTAATTCTATTATAATAGTGTACATGTAATTTAAGATATCCGCAAACATCGGAATTCTATCGTTTACGATTCATGACGCAAATCTGCGTTAGTGTCGCGCAGGGGACCAAAAATCCGTTTAAATGCTATTCTTTTTGCCGCGTCATCGTCGTTCCATTAATAATAAATTATTATTCAGGATGCAACGGCGATTGTACAATCTTTACTTAGAAATGTTGCGAGTTACAGCGCGGATGATTGTCAGCCATGGATCATCGAACGCGCGGAAGTTGCGCAACGCTGATCTTATCGAGAATACATATAAATTTTAACATCTAAGGTGTTTGGAATAATCTGAATTTTATTCTACGTTTATTTTCTAATGAATATCGCGATTAAGAAGTAGCACAGAATTTAATTGTTAATCTATTACAGACAATGATGTCAGGGTAATCTCTTTTGTAATATTATGTTACATTTTTTCTTTTTTCTTTTTTAATGTGATTACTATCTCTTATAATGGACACTTGATAATCTATTTTGTGTCACGAGCAAGTTATGCATGTTTGAATAAATTTAAGTAGGTGGATCTGATAAGAATATACGTCTGCCAGCTTTACATATTAATTCTACAGTATTATAGTAGGGCATTCTTTTTATTTGCATTTTCCAATCAACAGACTGGAAAGTTTGTGTTATTCAGTATTTGATTAATAGTAGTTTTATCTTGATGGTCAAAAATTAAGTCACAAACGTTGATGTAACATCGATAAAAAAAAAATAATAGCATAAATTGAATTAAAAAGAAGTTATAATTTTATTTTGAATATAGCAGGATATTTTCCAGCTAAAATGCTCTTTTATGCGTCGCGATTTTCAATCAAATGTTTCCATTAATATCTTAAAATCATATTGCAGCTTCTATAATCATTCGTGTTGCATAAAATCGTCATTCGAACGTATTAATTAAATTGGTTCAATTTTTACGTTTGAAATATTTCACGTCGAACGGAGAAAATTATCAGATAATAAATAATTGCAATAATATAGATATAAATATCGACTTTAAATATCAAACAGACACCAAGGGTATTTCTGACTGCTTCATTTTAATAATAAGTCTATTAGAAATTAAGAACATAATTCATTTTTGGTAAACGATGTTTCCAATATTTACAAACGTTAGACTTGCAATTTTGCCGTAGTCGCTTAAAACGATCCGATAATATTTATTTTCAAAACGATACGTGAAATCCGTAGAATGAATATGTGATATTAATAAATTATATTCGATGTTTTAATAATTTTATACGTTCGATCGATATTAGCTACGTTTATCCTGCATTCATTTTTTTATCTGATTAAACTCTTTTGCAGTTTAATTTATAGCCCGCATAAATACTACACGTTGGAATACGAGTAATTAGAATCATCTGATAAAAACGAAATATTGCTTTAAATAGTTCCCCGTACAATTTTGGTCAGTTAATTTAAAACATATCAAGATATAACTAGTATGGTAGTTTCAATATGAATAAATTGTATATTACCGACTTCGAATATTCAAAACTCGCGCCATTTTACATAGAAGATGCAACAAACCTGTGAAATAGCTCAAAGCCACACGATTTAATTTAAAAATTCTTTTCTGTGAATTAAACAACAAATCTTGAATAAAACAGTGAGCTTGAAACCAAAGTCACGGACTTTGGTTCGTACCGCGGCACTATCTGTCGTTGAACGTACGACAAGTATAAGAAACCGTACAGTCGCCATTGTTATTTTTAGACAGAGCCAGAAAAACCGAGTAACGACCGCACCGCACAATGTAGCATTATTAATCTTTCCTTAATCTACAATAAATAAGAAGTAATAACACGTAATCAACGCTGATAACAATCGATTCGGGAGAACCAGTTTCGAGAAAGCGTTGCCAGCGTTGTAATCTTCTGCGGTATCATTACGCGTCAAGGTGATTGTTGACGTCAATCTTCGGATCAGTTAATGTTGTGTAGTAATTTTTTTCGTTTCCCGATTCTGTCGGTTAACTGCGTTAAACGACACAAAACGCGAGAATATTTGGAAACTCCATTTTTTCTTTGTACGCGTATTCGCAAAAAATAATTATAATTAACCAAATACATTCTCAGCGTTGAAAAATTAATAAAGTATTGAATGAAATTCGATCTAAATGGTTTAGTGATTACTTTAAAAATATAAACATTCTCCTCAAAGTTTGTTGGTTTAACGCCCGTTTGGAGGATTATAGAGTTGCCTATCGCTCACTCTGGCAATCGCGGTGTTAAAGCGATACTGTCTGGAGTCGCGGTATGTCCTGCTTTGAAATCACGCGCGCCGCATTGTCGTGTAATTTGATAATAAGTCAATCACGAAGTCTGTCGGACTGAACGACCATCTCGCGGAATGTCCATCGTTCATTCATGTATATAGTTTGCCTACAACTTCTAGTTGAATTAGTAGTGTTGCCAAGTAGTTAGCGGACAATATGCTACGTCATGGGACAGTGGTAGCAAACCACCATGTTGTCTCCATAATTTAGCCAGATGACTAACTGAAATACTGCGAGTGTCAGGTCACCGCCCTAGCATTCAGGAGTAACTAGGCTAGAAGCCTATAATCACCTTGGCCCCGAAGATCATTGACATATCCCGCCCTCTAGGACGTCACTACCAATCAAATCGTAAAGGAACGGCTGTGGAAGACCCGTCAGACTTCTCTGAAAGGGAGACAGGAACTATTCTGTGCAAGGAAGTTTCGTTTTGGGTCCTGTTCTCAACTAATGTGTAACTCTCGAAGGGATAGGATGTAAGAAAAGGAAGACTCTGATAGGACGGAAGTGTCCTCTTCAAGGACACCCAGGTGTAGAATTCAGACTCTGGAAGGGAGGAAGTAGGCTTTGTTTGGAAGTTCAATTTTGAGTCCCTTTTACAGCTAGAGTCTAACACAACTATCAAAGAGATAGGGTTTAAAGACAGGATGTCAGACTCTGGAAGGAAGTGGTCTTCCTAAGGAAGTTTTATTTTGGATACCTGTTTTGCTGCCACAATCTAATACAACTGCTCCAAGAATGGAGTCCCCGCTAACTGAAATACACTGCTTTCTCTTGGTCCTACCATTACTAGAGGGTTGGGTTACTAGGCTTGGAATAACATTCTCTTCTTTATCCAAGTTGTAAATAAGTATTCAAAAGACCTGACCCAATTGTAGGACCCCCTGTTAACTGAAATACATTGCAGTTCTGAGGCTTTATATGGCCACCATGAACATTCTTCCTACCCCTAGCTCTATCACTAGGGGTATTAGTCTTATCATTGTTATTCTAATCATAAAAGGTACTCAGAAGATTCATTTGACCCAAGTGTAATAATTGTTTCTAAAGATGTTCTCTCTTATTGATAAAGTCAATGTACTGATTAACTTCCCCAAAGATAGAGCTTATTAATTTCAAGATATATACTCAATTTTTTCATAAATTTTGAAGTCAGTTTATATTTTTCATGGTGCTAACAAGAAATAATGTATTTTATTACTAACAGCAATATTAATGCGTTTAGATCAAACTTTTGAAAAACAAATTTTAATAGTTGTCTAGTAAAAAAATAAAAAAGCGTATTTTTATAATATAATAACACTTTCAACGCTAGTCAGAAAATATGACAAATATAGACTTGCTTAGTTAAAAAGCATTGGAATTTATCGATAAACACATTATTTAAAAATCGAATCTAAAAACGTTTTAAATGACATTACAACACGTTGCTGGACTACGCCGCTCGTTATGGCTTTTACGCGAGTAATGGTTGTTTTTGTGTAAATAATACGGTTGCAATAAATTCCATAGATGACTTTCAAAATGTAAAAGTGTCAAACCACATTTTGCAATACGCAATACCAACAAATAAAATGAACCATGAAATATATCTCATATTTTAAAAAGGAACATACGAATGCATTTACAGAAAATGCAATTTTTTAAAATTATTTGAACATAGATTAATATTTCTGGTTTAAATATTAGAGGCTTTTTCTGCAATAAAATGCATTCGATAATTCGTATCTTTTAAATCAGAGATTCGAGCAACTTTAAAAATAAGTGCAACAATAAAAATTGCGAAATATGAGGCTCCTGAATGAAAACCTAATCTGTGGCAACCTGATGTACTACTTTCAGCCATGCCACCTCTAATCTTATAAGGTCGAGTGTACTCATACTCCGCGATTTCTTAAACTTAATTTTCTCCAAAGCTAAACTGCATCCGGACATATTTATTTATTAAACAGAAAACATTATTTTACATGTTAATTTCAAACACTGATAAACATTGTTATAGCGTGGGTATAATTTAAACAAAAATGTTAAAGTTCATGCATTTCGAGACAAACGAATAAACACTTATAGTTCCCAGTTTATTGTATGTTTCCATTTTATCTTCTATATTTTCAATTT